CCTATCATCGTTCGTTTGTCAATTTTGACAGTGAGGATGCAATAGCGGGAAATGAGTCCTCCTTTGGCATCAGATCCATCTGCGGTTGTGACGGGGAAGGGTTTCGAGAGTTTATGGGTTTTAATTCTGTGTAGCTTGCAGAATTCTTCACTAATGAAGGTTCCGCTTGCTCCAGAGTCGACGACCATAGAGGTTTCGATGGTTTTGATACGCTTGGTGGAGATAATAGTAGTGGGGACACGAAGCTCCTTTTTATTTCCAAGTGATTGTACAAGTCATATAGGGACAGAAGGTACTGACATCGATGCAGCCTTCTGATTCAAAAATCCATTTCCACGAAGTGTCGGTTTGCCTCCTCCTCATCATCGCTACTCTCTTCTTTCTCAACCTTCCTTCTGATAGGCATCTTCTGTTTCTTATCCTCTCTGGGGTGGAATGTGGTGTCGTTTGCGCGATGCCCTGTCTGGTGGCAGTTGAAGCAACATCCTTCTTTCAGGTGTCTTTTCACCTCAGATTCGGAGAGTCGATCTACTTCCATGGCATCACTCCTACGAGGAGTGAAGTGGCGGTCTCCATACTTCTTCTTTTTATGCTGAAATGGGTTTTCTCGTTTCTGTATCGCTTTCAATCTCTGGAAGGCATTGTCCAGGTTGATACAAGTAGCAATAACAGTTTCGAAGTCGTCTAGACTTTCTCCGGTGTGGTAGAGGTTGTTTCGAAGCCCTATATCAAGGCCTTCATGGAAGAACTCTACTTTGGTGATGTTCTCAGTTATACCGGCTTTGTGGGCTAAGAGGTGATAGTTGGAGATGTAAGTGTGGAGGTCTCCCTTCATTTCGAGGGCTCGGACTTTAGCCATGGCCGTCCCTGCCGGGTCTATGGCTCCGAAGGCCTCTTTGAAGGCGACTTTGAAGTCGTCCCAACTGCCATATCCAATGACATTTCTGGCAGTGTTCTTTCTCTTGGAGTTTTGAGCGGTCTCCATGAAGTCTTCTTTCCAAGCGGCTGCATTACCCTTGGTCATGAATGAGAGTGTGAAGATTACTTTCTTCTTATCACTGTCGTAAATCTTGTCGTTGATGTCTAAATACGCATTGCAGTTCAGCATGAACCTGTGCGATTCGTCGTGGTCTCCATCGAATTCGGGAGGGGAACCGATCTTGATTTCTACTTCTTTGGTAGTGGTAGTCATGGTGTTCAACGGTGGTATAGGCGGTAGCATGCCTAGGTTCAAAGCTCCGATCAAAGGAGTTAACGAAGTCGTGGTGTCAGTTGACGTCGCAGATGGTGGCGTCTATAATGAGACTTTAATCTTTTGTTACGACTGGGATATGTCGAGCTGTCTAAGTCCGGGTGGACTGAGATTCGGTGAGACAGACGTAGTTCTTCTCTCGAACGAGAGGTCAAAGGTTTCTGGCTAAGGCGAGTATCGGCGACTCCCTTAGAATAATGGTTCTTAGATAGCAAGGTTGGAGACCTTGCTAAAGGACTATGTTCCAGGTAGAACCCAGTAGATTAAAGTGCAGAATACAGATGGTACACTATGTGTCTATATAGCGAGTGTTCAAGCGGAGCTTGTAAATGGCGTATCAAGATAGAAGGTGGACAGCCCGCTTGGTAAGAGATAAGAGATAAGAGATAGCAAACATAGTGCGGACAGCCTGCTTGATAAGAGATAAGGGCTATGCATGGTGACGGTTACTAGAATGGAAGGTGAGTTTAGTGATAATGTGAGTAAGCGTCTGGAATGTGATTGGACGTTCAGTAGCAGATACAACAAACGACCATTGTCCAGTAACGAAGGAAAAGCTAGGGGAATAAGTATACCGTAACACCTGCCAGATCAATTAGCACAGAATTTGTATTGGCTGTATCTCAATCAAATATGAACTGATTCACACAACCAAACCACCCCTGAACTCGCACCGGCCGGTAATATAATACGGCATATGGACCGGTCCACTTGAGCCGGTCAATGTGAACCAATGTCCACCTGCCGGATCAATTAGCACAGAATTTTGTATTGCCTGTATCTCAATCAAATATGAACCATTTAACACAAACAAACCACCCCTGAAATTGCACCGGCCGGTAGTATAATACGGCATATGGACCGGTCCACTTGAACCGGTCAATGTGAACCAATATCCACCTGCCTGATCAATTAGCATAGAATCTTGTATTGCCCCTATCTCAATCACATATGAATCGATTAACACAACCAAACCACCCCTGAACTTGCAACGGCCAGTAGTATAATACGGCATATGGACCGGTCCACTTGAGCCAGTCAATGTGAACCGATGTCCACCTGCCGGATCAATTAGCACAGAATTTTGTATTGCCTGTATCTCAATCAAATATGAACCATTTGACACATCCAAAACACCACTGAAGTTGCACTGGCCGGTAGTATAATACGGCATATGGACCAGTCCATTTGAACCGGTCAATGTGAACCGATGTCCACCTGCCGGATCAATTAGCACAGAATTTGTAATGCCTGTATCTCAATCAAATATGAACCGATTGACACAATCAAACCACCCCTGAACTCGCGCCGGCCGGTAGTATAATAGGGCATATGATCCGGTCCACTTGAGCCGGTCAATGTGAACCAATATCCACCTGCCAGATCAATTAGCATGGAATCTTGTATTGACTGTATCTCAATGAAATATGAACCGATTGACACAACCAAACCACCCCTGGAATCGCACCAGCCGGTAGTATAATATGGCATATGGACCGGTCCACTTGGATTCACCTGGTGACATACCTACCGAATGGTAGATTTCACCAAATCTCCGGTAAATATGATTCTTCCAGCCCACTTATCTGCATCGTAACCCGGATACCCTCAGCCCATCCCTTTGCCTCGGGTACACACATTCACTCGGCCCATCCCTTTGCTTGGGTACACACATTCACTCGGCCCATCCCTTTGCCTCAGGTACACACATTCACTCCGCCCATCCCTTTGCCTTGGGTACACATTCATCCGGCCCACTCGTCTCCATTGTACACCAAATTAACCATTCATCATGTCCTATATACTAGTACATTCCTATACCACTCTCTATACTATATACCCTCGGCCCATCCCTTTGTCTTGGGTACACACATTCACTCGGCCCACCCATATATCATGGTACAATTATTGCCATGGGCCCACATGGGATGGCCCGTCTCTCTTGGTACATTGTCACACTCGGCTGCCCGTCTGAGACAAGTGAATTTCACTGAATGGGCTCGTAGTAGTGTGTAATGCTCGATGAAGTTGACATAAACCGTTGTCTAGTGCTTGCAGGGAGCACGGGCAGTTTGTTTTTTGTTTCTATTCCAAGCCTCGTTGTGGTGTTCAAGTAGTTATTTGGTATCACAAAATAGATGTCAAGAAGACATAGGTTTAGCGTCATAGTATTTATTCGAATCATTTGCTATAGGTCTTTGACATTGACAATGTTTCAACCAATATCCTGGATATCTCTACTGTATCAACGAAGGAAAGCAGTGTACAGAACGGGAAAGTCAAGGAGCGAGAGATGTTTATAGGCGATGTTGCTGGAACGTTAGATGCAAGTTTCTATTTGCTCGTGCTTCTTATCTTCGAGGACAACTCATGATCCACCTCTCATCGTATTGAAAGCACTGTGGTTCTAAAACGGTTATGTCAATACACCCAGAAAGGGACATGCAGGGACATCAGCGATAGTGCAGGAGTCGAGCGTCTGCTGCTTGATGTCAAGTTGTGGAGGGAATGGCGACTTTGAGACAGGGAGGGGTGAATCTTGAGTCGATGTGGTTGGTTGGTGGCAGAGACCTGCCTCTAGGACATAGCAGGGTTTTGAAACTGATCACATGAAGGCAGCCAAGATGTTGTCAAAAATTACAATGGGATCGACGTTTGGGCCATGATTGAAGATTTCGAATTTGGAAAGCGCATGCGAGAATCAGGTTATGGTCATACTCTGGGGGAGATTTGAAGGCACAGATCGAAGTTGAAGAAGGGAAGCTTCTATGATCTTTGAAGGACATGAGCGTGGTTTAGACTTCGGTGCAGGTGTTCCTGCACCACGAGGGAGTAGCGGAGAAGAATTTGGTGGTCCGGAGCCTTGGTACCCTGGAGGTGGTGTAAACAAGAGCGACACATTAAACGCTACACTTGCATGTGATCGCGGGATACTAAGTGCAAATTGACAAAGGGTGAATTGGTGTATATCTCTGCAGTGCCATGCGGATGTCTCCAACTATTGAGTACTGATCGGTGTTTGAATCATATATGTAGATACCCAGGATTATCAAAAGTATGTATGAGCGTAATTCACTGCTTCAAGGGAAGGAATGAGCGAAACATATTCCGCTCGCTGCGCGTCTGTTATCATCGATCGACCAATGATAGTAAGGGTCTCCAGGGGACACTTTGACCGTGCCAATAATGCCTGCATATCCTCATGAGGCCAAGAAGATCCATGGGGGCTAGTGCTGCTAACTTCAAGCGCGCGCAAATTGGGGAGTGATACAGCATTGAACAGGTCAGATAAAGGGCGCGTGAGCAGAGGACTACCATGAAGGATGATGCATAAGGATTGTAATTTTGTGTGCGTGAATGATTCCATGGGTTCTTTTCGGTCAGATTCTATGTGGACATTTAAGGAAGAGAGGTTGGGACATAGTTGGAGCAAATGGAGGAATGCGTTCGGGTTACATACGGCGATCTGGACATCCGTCAAGTAAGCCCATATGGGGCCTAAAGAAGACAAGTCCTCGATGCTGAAAACCGGCATCATGTTAATGAACTTGAGACAGCGCATAGTGGATGGCAGTCGCGAGATAAATTGTGCAATATTTGGAATATCACGATCTGTCGTCCCTAGTATGGCTAGCTCCTGAAGTTCTGGGAGGTCAGTAGCAAACAGCTGAGGGTGTCTACCCCAGAAGTAATCGGCAGAGACTCGGAGAAATTTTATACGCCTCATATGAGGCTGAAGAAGAAGAAATCATAGTGTGGTCGAGCAGCGGTCCCCAAGTTCTAACGAGAGTGGACGTCCTCGTGAACGCTTGAGCCACAAGTCATAACAGAAAGCTGCCTGCTCCCAGCTTCCGTTGGCTTCCACATACAACCTGCACCATAAATCGGGCGTACCCACAGCAACCTCCCTCCATCGTTGGCATATTCTTGTTAACAGTATGGGGGCTTTAACTCGGAAGCTCAATGGGGATAGCGAAAATGTGGTTTCAGGGAGACAGTGGTTAAATATTTGGGATAGGACTTCCGTTGGAAAGCGCCAGAGAGCCGATAGGAGTCCCTTGTGCAGATTCATCGACTGCATAATCTTCCCTTTCTTTTCGACAACTTGCTGATGATGATTTTTGATGCTATCCATCATGGCCTGCAGATCCGAGAGCTCGTCCAGAACCGCATCCGATTGCTGCCGGCGCTCAGCGATAATGCTGACAACGCTATCTATCACGGCCTCCAGGCGCGAGAGCTCGTGTGTTACAAGTAACATCAGTCATGTGGCCCCCCTATCATTTTCCCTTCATCCTCGCCCTCACCATCTACCAGCTCGTCCTCCTTTACCGACTTTCCATTGACCGGATCCTCGGGACCGTTCCCGTCCCTCGCATCGTCCATCTCTATGCACTGTTACGCACTCAAATAGATCTGTTAGGCGGAGCCCTAAGAGGGGCGTCGTCCGCTAATGTTCGTGACGTAACCGGAAGGGTCCGGTATGGCAAGTGAGACTGGCGACGACGAGTCGGCAGCGATCACAGTACGTGCGTGTCACGTGACTTCGTAGACGGATGTCGTGAGAAGTCACTCAAAGTAAGGACTGTCTTGTCCGAACGATGAGGTCGATCGAGGTAGACTTAGTCGCGATGAGCGGCTAAGAAAAGATACTAGAGACTGAAGCTGAGGGGGCTTCAGAGGGAAGTATGTTCCAGGGAAGATTGAGTAGATTCAAGTTAGAGAATCTAGTACAGTGTGACCGACTACTTATACTAAGTGGAGAGGGTTAAGGGCAAGGCTACCGCACAGTAGGTAAGGGTAAAGGGGAAGCGAGAATGGTATAGGTGCGCTGGCATCAAAGCCGGATTAGTGGTGGATGGTCGAATGTGGAATGAGACCGAGAAACGTTGGAACGGACCAACGGTAAGAATACAACGTGCGGGGATCCGCAGTCAGGGGAAACAGAAAGAGGAAAGCCACATTGGTGGCACGAGTCAGACCGAGTCAGAGGTGCGGGACCACATTGGTGGTCGAATCAAGAGAGGAACGTGCGTGCACGTGCATAGAGGCGAATGATGCGAGGGACGGGAACGGTCCCGAGGATCCGGTCAACGGAAAGTCGGTAAAGGAGGGCAAGCCGGTAGATGGTGAGGGCGAGGATGAGGGGAAAATGATAGGGGGGCCACGTGACCGATGTTACTTGTAACATGCATGTGCACGCACGTTCCTCCCCTGATTTGACCACCAATGTGGTCCCGCACCTATGACTTGGTCTGACTCGTGCCACCAATGTGGCTTTCCCTTTCTGTTCCTTCTGACTGCGGATTCCCGCACGTTGTATTCTTACCGTTGGTCCGTTCCAACGTTTCTCAGTCTCATTCCACATTCGACCATCCATCACTAATCCGGCTCTGCTGCCAACGCACCTATACCATTCTCGTTTCCCCTTTACCCTTACCTACTGTGCGGTAGCCTTGCCCTTAACCCTCTCCACTTAGTATAAGTAGTCGGTCACCCTGTACTAGATTCTCTAACTTGAATCTACTCAATCTTCCCTGGAACATACTTCCCTCTGAACGCCCCTTTGGCTTCAGTCTCTAGTATCTTTTCTTAGTTGCTCATCGCGACTAAGTCTACCTTGATTGACCTCATCGTTCGGACAAGACTGTCCTTACCTTGAGCGACTTCATAGACATCCGTCTTAGAAGTCACGTGACACGCGCGTACTGTGATCACTGCCGACTCGTCGTTGCCAGTCTCACTTGCTATACCAAATTCTTTTGGTTACGTCACGAACGTTAGCGGACGACGCCCCTCTTAGGGCTCCGCCTAACAGATCTATTTGAGTGCGTAACATCGTGCAGAACTGTATCCGATTGCTGCTGGTGCTGAGCGATGATGTTGATAATGCTCTGGTGTTTGTGCTCGACAGTAGAGTGCTCTGTATTGGGGAATCTGGAGTATGGAGTTTCAAGGACTGGAATCTAGTCATGGTCAGTAACATGACATGTGATGTGTCGAAATAGACCAATGAGTAGATGTACAATCACTTGCGAGCGTTAGTGCTGCCGTGGTCCGGTTCGGTCCGGTTCAGAGGGTCCTGGACGAGAACCGAGAACCGAACCATGGTCCGGTTCTGCAAAATCGTCGAACCCAGAACCGGACCATCAAGAACCGTTCTCAACGGTCCGGTTCGGTTTTTTTGTGGTCCGAACGCGAACCGAACCGAAATTTTTTCAAGCGCAACAAAAATTGACATTGTAGATCTACTGACATCGAGTAACTAGTCTAACATAGCACTGCATGCTCCTCTGCTTCTACTGCTGCTGTCAGAAATGGGAGCCCTAAAGAGCGCTGGATGCGAATGGAGAGTTTGGAAGGTGTGGAGGTTGTCGAGGAATTCAGTTAGTGCTAGCTGCATTTTGAGAGGTCAGAAGCATAGTTGCGCGAATGGACAAGAGATAGATATTCACGGGGAGAGTGCTGTTTGTAGGGATATCCATGACAGACCGTAGCTGTGTCAGCGTTGTCTGCACATCCCTGCCCAGACCAGGGCCAAGATTTGTGACAGCAGCAGAAGGTCCGCAAGCACAGCGACAGTCACTGAGTCAGTGCAAGATTACAACCTGACAAACAATGCAAACTGACGAGGGCCTACCGCCGCAGAAAAGCACACGCGACGCAAGGCCGTCGCGCACGAGAGTTGCCTCACAACCAGCAGGCGCGCCTCTTCGATCTGAAAGGCTTTACAAATATGCGATTCCGAGCAACTCGTGAGCAGAATGTGGGTCACGGGCAGGTCAGGCTCATGAAGAGCCTATGCAAGGGAAAATATGGACAACGATATCCAAGGAGATCCGTTAGAGTTGATGAGGATGGCGGCGAGTGTTACGCACTCAAATAGATCTGTTAGGCGGAGCCCTAAGAGGGGCGTCGTCCGCTAATGTTCGTGACGTAACCGGAAGGGTCCGGTATAGCAAGCGAGGCTGGCGACGACGAGTCGGCAGCGATCACAGTACGCGCGTGTCACGTGACTTCGTAGACGGATGTCGTGAGAAGTCACTCAAGGTAAGGACAGTCTTGTCCGAACGATGAGGTCGATCGAGGTAGACTTAGTCGCGAAGAGCGACTAAGAAAAGATACTAGAGACTGAAGCTGAGGGGGCTTCAGAGGGAAGTATGTTCCAGGGAAGATTGAGTAGATTCAAGTTAGAGAATCTAGTACAGGGTGACCGACTACTTATACTAAGTGGAGAAGGTTAAGGGCAAGGCTACCGCACAGTAGGTAAGGGTAAAGGGGATGCGAATATGGTATAGGTGCGTTGGCAACATAGCCGGATTAGTGATGGATGGT